TATATGATGAAAATTCTCCCTGTTTTTTAAAAATGTTCAAATGAATATTAAAATTCATGTCGAAAACTTTCGTTCGAATGAGCTTGCGGTTTTTACGTAAGTCAGACACATTTTTCAAAAAATAGAAATTCACAACAAAACAAAATTTTTAAACAAATTTGAATGAATGAGAACAACATCTCCAAAAGCAAAGAAAAACGCGTAATATTTGTTATTTTAGTATAATAAGGGAAGAATAATGACTGAGTAACATTATATGGAGCATTTTGTGCGTGGCAGCTAAAAGTTTTAAAAAGGTTAAGCGCCCTAAGGCTTACATTTACTCGGAAACTCAAGTGGCCCATGGTGATTTCCTTCAAGAAAATAGAATAAATGGAAGTGGGTTTCGAGAGAAATTCATCAAAGTCATTTAAATAGCCATTCTACTTTGAAATAACTTTGCCAGCAATTTGCATGACAATTATGTGGTATTTCATATGGTGGACCTTATGAAATTCTGAGTCGATTTAGCTATGTCCGTCTGTCTGTCTGTCTGTATAAAACATTCTCACGTTAACACGAAGCAACAAAAATTATCGAAATTCACCCAAAATATTTATTATTGTCCTAGGCAGTTTGGTATTGAAAATAAGCAAAATCGGTTCACACCCGGAAATGTTATGAATCAAAATTTGAAACAACCTCGAAAAAAATAAGCATTTTTTACACATTCTGATGTAATTTTCTCGAAAACTATGCAAGATAATTCCATGAAAATCACCATACATTCGTTTCTACACAAGAGCTTGACTTCTGCTGAATTGCCAGAATCGGTCAACAATTTCATATACCTCCCATACAAAAGTACATATTCCCGGAAAATGGATTTTTTGTTAATAACTTCCGTCACAATTTCGAAATCTTTACAAAATTTTACAAATTAAAATCTTATGTGAATAGAATTCATTCAGAGAAAAAATTTTCTGGATCGGTCCATAATTGGACATAGCTCCCATACAAGGTCCCCTCCCGAAAATAACTTAAACGCAAATAATTCATTACTAAATTAAGACATCCATATAAAATTTGGTACAACTATTGCTCTCACATACAGAAATATTACTGTGAAATTTTTGTTCCATCGATCCATAATTGGTCATAGCTCCCATACAAGGTCCCCTACCGAAAATCACTTAAACGCGCATAACTCATTACTAAATTAAGATATCCATATAAAATTTGGTATAAGTATTGCTCATACGCAAGGAAATTTTACTGTGAAAGTTTTTTCTGATCGGTCCATAATTGGTCATAGCTCCCATACAAGGTCCCCTCCCGAAAATCACTTAAACGCGCATAAGTCACTACTAAATTAAGATATCCATATAAAATTTGGTACTAGTATTACTCATATGCACAGAAATATTACTGTGAAATTTTTCTCCGAGCGGTCCATAATTGGTCATAGCTCCCATACAAGGTCCCCTCCCAAAAATCACTTAAACGCATATAACTCATTACAAAATTAAGATATCCACATAAAATTTGGTACAAGTATTGCTCATATGCACGAAAATATTACTGTGAAATTTTTCTCCGAGCGGTCCATAATTGGTCATAGCTCCCATACAAGGTCCCCTCCCGAAAATCACTTAAACGCACATAACTCATTACAAAATTAAGATATCCACATATGCACGAAAATATTACTGTAAATTTTTTTTCCGATCGGTCCATAATTGGTTATAGCTCCCATACAAGGTCCCCTTCCGAAAATCACTTAAACGCACATAACTAATTACTAAATTAAGATATTTATATGAAGTTTAGCACAAGCATTGCTCATATACAGACAAATATTACTGTGAATTTGTTTTCCTATCGGTCCATAATTGATCATAGCTCCCATACAAGGTCCCTTTCAGAAAAACACTTAAAGGCACATAACTCATTATCAAATAGTGATACCCATAAAACATTTGGCATAAATACTACTTTTGTACACAGAAATGTTATTTGAGCATTTTTTCATGATCGGTCCAACTTTGGTCATAGCTCCCATACAAGGTTCCCTCCCGAAAATCACTTAAACGCACATAACTCATTACAAAATATTGATATCCATACATTTAGCAAAAATATTGCTCTTATATACATATATTAAACTATAAAATTGTATTTCGATCGGTCCATATTTGGTCATAGCTCTTATACTAGGTCCCCTCCAGAAAATCACTTAAATGCACAATATTCATTACCAAATAATGATATAGATACAGAATTTTTAAATTTTGTCTTTATATACAATAATTGGTCATAGCTCCCATACAAGGTCCTTTTACGAAAATCTCTTAAACGCACATTACTCATTACCAAATAAAGCTATTGATAAAAAATTTGGCCCAAATATTAATTTTGTATACAAAAATTCTATTTCAAGATTTTTCCACGATCGGTTCCTAACATAGGTGCGGTCGGTCCCATACAAGGTTCGCTTCAGAAAATCACTTAAACACACATTACTTATTACTAAATTATGATATAGATACAAAATTTGACTGAAATATAGCTTTTATGAACAGAAATTTTGCTTAAAAAAATTTTTACGATCGGTCTATAATTGGTCATATCTCCCAAACTATGTCCTGCCCCTAAAAGCGCTTTAGCCGTATTTAACTAGTTGCATTATCAATTTGTGTAGAACAAAATTATATATATTTATTTTAAAAATCCTTAAATCTTTTACACACATGCATACATGCAAATTACTAAATATCGCTAAGCGCTATAAAAATGTAAAGAAAATGGTGTTTGTAATGTTCAATAAATCATGGAATTGTAATAGATTTAAGCTGTTTAAATCTTTGTATTTTTTCTATTCAAGACATGAGAAAACTTATTTCTACAAATATTTGATCAATTAGAAAAGTATTAATATATGTATAAGTAGGTGGAGGGTACTTAAGATTCGGCTCAGCCGAATATAGCGCTCTTACTTGTTTTTACAATATTATTCAATGCGAAAGCTAAAGAACAAGTGATTGATTTTGACACGTTCGTTCGAATTCATGATTGTAAGTTCGAAATAGAGAAATCAATTTTTATATGAAAAAGTAAAATAGTTTTACGTTATCATTCGACTTAGCTTTCGAATAGAAATAACAATTACATTTGATATAGTTAAACCAAAATACGTTTTCATTCAACTACAATAAGAAAGAATTTCGATATTGTGAAACATGCTATTAGTTCTATTAATTTCCCAGATAAACGTGTTTAATTTATATGGGAGGTGCCACGCCCTCTGCTGCTAGGTCGCCTACTTTTTGTCCTAAATAATCATATTGACACTAAAGTGGCTCCGACAATTTCTCTGATATACTGATTTAATATTTTCCTAATATGGGCGTGTCTCCTCGCCCACTTGAAATTTCAAAATAAAAAGTAGCCTATAACCTCTACCAGACATACAGGTATACACTTTAAAAATTTGAAGAAAATCGGTTCAGCCGTAGTAGTCTATAAACTTCAAATATACAAACATATAACATACAAACACACATTCATTTTTATATTTAAGGTAGGGCCTCTTTGCTAAGACTCCTTGCTAATTTTGGTACTTACAGTTAAGATTTCCTAGATTATATATACATCAAACGATATATTTTCGCTAGAAGTGTATCCAACCCTCATTGACAGTATTGAAAAAATATCTCATAAGCTTCATAAGTGTTATAAAAAAAGTTTTAAATTTCACCATTTTTTCAAAGTTTTTGAACTTTAAAGCTTATAACTGTCAGATGGATTTGTAGGCTTATACTTTCAAATATTGTAAGTACAATACTATTAAAAGTTTATTAAAAAAGTATTATTTGAAATAATGTTTGATATTTAAGTTCGGTTTACTCGAATTACGTATTACTTGAAATTGTGACGTGATAGAAAGAAATCGAAAGCAGGCGTAGATTCAGTGTGTTAATATCTTAAGTTCTATGTGGCCTCCGGTAGGTTAGTGGTTAGTGTTCTAGTCTGGTAGACCGGAGGTGGTGGGTTCGATTCCCACCTGAGGCACTGGTTAAGGAGCGCACAACAGGCCCGATAGAGGCCTAGGTGTATTTCTTCGGATTTAATGTATATACATCCTCCTTTCAAACTAACTAACTAACATAACATAGTTTTTTAAAGGAGGATTTGAGTGCAGACCAGTGTCTGTAAAATAGGATATTTGGTTAACCGGTTAGTTGAAAAAATATTTTACGGCTTATTCCTTATTTGAAATTTGGCAATTTTCAGGTAATCAACCTAAATTAATCGCTTTACCGAAAGGAAGTGTATGCAATAGTCATCCTATTTTTAACAGTATAATTCGGTTTACTCTCAAAATGTACACAAACAAATTTAACAAGAAATATCTTATTCACGCCTTTTTATACAAGATTGTTATAATTTTTTCTACAATACCTGAAACAGGGTACAGGCACAAAGTACATCATGTGGTACAAGGTTCTTAATATAAATTATGTATAAATTTTAAGCCATTACATTATTTGATAAACTTATCTTAAACATAAATAAGATTTGTTTCTAAAGTAGCTGTTTGGTTCAATATAGTACATATAATAGTTTTGGCAATACTGTTCGCAGCCAACATCATACTGAATACAATTTGTTTTTAGTAGGCGTGGCAATGTAAAAATAAAACTCATACATATATGAAAAATAAATATGGACACAGTATATATTATAAGTTGTACTTAATAATAATTCTTAGAACGTATCAACATTGTATAGTTAAACTTTTGCATTATACATTAAAATCTGATTTTGAAGTTGGATCTTTACTTAAGTGGAACATAGGTTTTATTTGTTTGTATATTTTCTTAGTATTATTCTCTCACAATTAAGGCGCGCCCGTCGTTGTTCTAAAATTCTTGCATTGTGGCATTACTAATCTTGATTTGACTTTTGTATTTTGAGGTAAACTTGTCTTTAATATTTATTTATAGATTTCACACTTTTACCTTTTATTTATTTCTTATATTTATTTCCGTTGTATTTAACTTAAAGCTGTTTTTATATATTTACTCAAAACGAATATATTTTCTTTATTTTGATTATTTTAGTAACTTTAAAATGGAGTGTATCGTATTAAAAACTTCAAGTATTGTATGGTTATTTAGCCAAGTATTACAGACATTAACTACCACTTTACTAACAACTAGTATGTTATTTCTACAAAGTCGTCATCATCGTTCGCACACTTGTTTTTAATTCTCCTCGTACACATACCAGCTAACAAATCAACCAACCCAACAATATAAACAATATTAAAAACAAAATTCCAATACAGAACAACAAATATATTGCTAGATGAGCAAGAAAATAATTTCCCCCTTTAGACCGCTTACAGTTTTTCGTCAGAAAAAATTTAACAATTAAATTTTTTGTTATCGGTTAACGTACCACTAACAATAAAAAATGGTTATAGCGCACTACTAAACAGAGCTTGTGTAAAAAATCGTTACCAAATGCTGACTAAATTTTGTTTTTATTGTGTTTTTTCTACTAACCAGTTAGTAACTGGTGTATTTTACAGCCCAGCTGATCGTTGTAGATCAGTGTTGCCATTTCAGCACTTCAGTACTAGATAAGCATTTTGCATCGGGAAAATGCATTGAAGTTTTTTAAAATTATGCTAAATGCTTTTTAGCATAATTAGCTTAATAAAAAAATTAAAAAATATTTCTGTTTTCTATTAAATATTAAGTACAGTTTAACTGATAAAAAATATTATTGAAAATCAGTGGTTGTATATTACAAAACAACATTATGATGAAAAATCTGATACAATGTCTTTCTAAATTCAAGTATATAATTTTGAAAATTTTATCGGTGAAAATGCATTTAATCAATTGTCTATTTTTGTATTGTCATTACTCATTTCATCTTTTTCTAATGCCGAAGTTGAAAGGCTTTCTATTTCAATGGCTATAATTAAAAATAAAATTCGAGATCTTATTTAAGCTGAATTTTTCAATCATAAACAAATTTTAATTTTATACAAGTTTTATAAATCAAATCTTGTATAGAAATTTAGTATTAAAAATCTTTTACAAATTAAAATGCTGTTTATGAATATATAAATACATAATTATATTGCAAATAAAATAAGATAATTTGAATTTTGTTAAATTAAAAATTTTTAGCATTTTTTTCTTCTGTAGAACACTTTATACCTGGTCCACACTAGAAAACTTTTGTTGAGAAACTTTTTCTTAATTCCCCTTTGAAGTTTCCTTAATGTCCACACATAGAAACTTTTGTTTGAGAAACTACGTATTAATTGCATTGATTTGTTGTTGTACGAATGAGAAGAATAACAAAACAAAACAAGTTTACGAGTACGCAGGGTGCACTTATAAGGTGAAGTCAATTCAACAGCTGATCACTCATTTTTTTTATTTGAGGTAGATACAACTGTCAAAGTACACCATTTAGAGTTGCCACAATCCGAAAAAATATGTACATCTATCTAGGGATTCATTATATTTTTAGGACAAAAAATTAATAAACAAATTTTATATTCATTTTAATCCGTAGTAAATTTATGCGTACTACTCAAAAATTGCACAAACTATTTGTCTTAAATATACATCTATTTTATCAATTATAGAGAACTTTTTACTAATCAATTGAGAGTACAAACATCCCACAATTGTAAATAAAATTATTAAAACTCGATTTTATCATAGATATCTTAATTTTTAACAACTTTCCATGGTAGTGGTTTGGTCACATTTCTATAAAGATCATTATATATTTCTTATACGACAATAGTAGAGACCTACACGGTATTATAAGTTCCCAATATTGACTGATAAAAAATAATATGTATACAATTTGTATTTTTGCTACTACTTACAATTTTGTAATCTAGTACTAATTTTTTTGTTATTTTAATTGATATTTTATTTACTTTTTTAATAAGTAAATAATAAATAATATTCTAACCCCCTTATTCACAAACAACATTTTTATTTTATAAAAGTTTTATAAAACAAAATTTCCATACAAAATACCGTTTATAAAATAAAAATTTTGTTTGTGAATAATTTTTCAATTCATGTATAATTTTTAATAAATTTTATCTTATAATACATATTTACTTTACGTGAAGAGATTTTTGGGCATGTGGGATTGTCTTTTTGTAAGGTAAATTAAAAAAAAAAAACACGGTGGCAACATGTACATTTTTTGACAGAAGTATCTACTTTTGTTGTTTTTGTAGAATTGACTTCACCTTATAAGTGCACCCTGCGAGTACGAGAAACTCCGTACCGCGAGAGAGATGAATGATATTCTTTCTCTTTCTCTCTTACGCAAAATCAAAAGTTTCCCAAAAAAAGTTTCCTACAAAGTAAATTAATAAAGTAGCATCCAAAGTAAATTAATAAAGTAGCGACACGAGTTGTTGTACAACAAACGTCTACAAAAACCACAGGCAATTTGTTTTTGTTCGAAATACTCACTTGTCAAAATTTGTTTACAAAAATGAACCAATAATTAATGGAAAATATGGCATTATTGTTGTACCTTCCAAAAATATGTTGTTATTTATATTAAAAGTCACAGAGTTTTCTTTATTTTTTAAAAATTAGAACATTTTTAAAAATATTATACACTTAAAATACACTTTTTCACATTAAATACAACAAATTACTCAGAAATTTGTACAAAAGCAAGCGTTAAAATGAAAACAAATATGGCAACATAAACATTTTTGACAAGTAAGTCCACAAATAGCAAGTTTAAAAAAAATAGTCAGCTGTTCAAATGAGTCTACTTTATAAATTTACTTTGGTAGCATCACTTGAACAGCTGACTATTTTTTTTAAACTAGATAAATGAAGCAAATTGTCAAAGTTTGTTTTGAAAATTGTTAACATTGTTTACGTCGCCATTTTTAAATTGTGTTTTGCTATTTGTTAAAATTTGTGAAAAGTTGAAAAAGTGAATTAAAAGTGGTTTTAAAGTAGTTTAAAAGTGTAATAAATTGTATAATATATAATAATATAATTAAATCGTTAATATTTTTAACTTAAAAGTAATATTTTTTATTTATGTTTTGTTCACATTGTTGTTCAAGGAAATTTTATTTTGACACAATCTTAAATTATTCCAAAAACAAAATACATGTGGTTGTTGTAGATGTTGTTGTACAACAAGAGATGTCGCTACTTTATTAATATACTTTGGTTTCCTAGTGTGGACCGGCAGTTAGCACTTAGTTTTTTAAGTTTTAGCATATTTTGAAATTAATTTTCTGGCAACACTGTTGTAGATTGTTTACCCCGTGTCTATATTAGCCAAATATTTATCACGATACTTGACAAAACGTCAGCAGAAAAATTGTCAGTTTTTTGTTTATGTTAATGCATAGGGGTAACAAAATGCTGATTTTATCACTACAAGATAATTTTATATAAATAATGCTAAATTTTAAAGAAACAATTAAAATTTAATGAAAATTTTGTAAATAAACACTAATTTCACTAAAACTTATGTTCAAAATCAATTTTAATTGCACAAAAACAAAATTCTAAACAAATGTTACAATTAAATGACGTATGTTATCAAGACAACGTTGTCTAAACAATTGTTTAGACAACACTGTCATAACGACGTTATTACGCTAATAAATGCCGTCTGTACCAGAGATACAAGCCGATGCGAAATGATCGGCGGCGACGGCGTAACCATATTGGGTCGTCGGCGGTGGCTTATTACAGAAAATAACGGCGGCGGCTAAATTGTCGGCTCAATTTAACTTTTTCTTTAGAAATTGACCTTATAAGGTTTATTATATTGAAAAATCTTTGTATAATAGTCTGTTACATAGAAACCTGTCTCTATATAAATTTTTTTCTGCAGAAAATGGACATTTATAGTAGTTTTCACTATTTTAATATTAGCACAATATTGTGTGGCAACTCTTTTCAATTTGCCATAAGAATTTAAAATAGTGGCAACTCCGTTCAATTTGGTGAAATTATGTTCTGAAATACATGTGTGATTCTAATCTTTATCAGCGGCTACGTTTAAGCCGGCTTAGCTTTTAAGCCGAAAGAAGTCGGCGGCGGCGCGGCTTGCAAAATATTACCGGCGGCCAGCCGCCGCAGATTTGAGCCGTCTCGGCTTGTATCTCTTGTCTGTACCTGCTAATTTTTTATCATGATAACAATTTGACGTTTACATAATATATATTTGTCTAATATAGACACGGGGTTACATGCAAAGATTTTTTGTAGTACAACTGTGAAACTCTATAAAATAAATAATGCGTACTATAGGTGGAAGTACACAACACGCGTTGTACGCGGCAACGCGTTATAGGCTTCTGTCAAAAAAGTTGAAATAGTGTATTTTCATTTAACAAGTTTCACATTGTAGTTTGTAACGCGTCTGCCGCGGAAAGTTCAGCAACTTTCAACTTTTGACGCGTCGGCAGCTGATCAGGGTTGTATTTTGTTTTGTGTATAATAAGAATAAACTAAAATGAAATAAATTTCTCCAACAATGGAAGAAAAATATTAAAAAATATACAAAAACTTAAAATTTTGATTTTTAAAACAGTAATAGTCTTAAAAAACATTAAAAGAAAGTTCAAAATGACGCGTGGTGTGTAACTATCCGCTTATAATAAAGCGCGAACAGTTTGGAATGCGTGAAACGCGTTGACTGCTCGACGCGTGTTGTGTACTTCCACCTTAAATCCTCCCTTGGTTACAGTCACTGTTGCCAGATTTGACGATTTATCGTCCTTTTGACGATTTTCACTGTCAAAAATGACCTGTTGACGATTTCAACTCAAAATTTTCATTATTTTTTAAAATAGGATTTTTATACCAATTTTAATACATCTTCTATCTATAATTTGAAAGAAACTCGATGTAGTTAGAATATCAAATGAAAATGTTAATAAAATTAAACATTATAATGTTTAGAGTATGATCAAATGATTGACGTAAAAACGAACTCAAAATTTTTTGAGAAATTCTCTTTTTCTTGTTCAGCACTTAGGGGTTATTGGATCTAGAATAAGAGGTGGTGGGAAAAAGGATAGAGGGAGTAGTGTTTTTGGACTTTTGATTTAAAGGAGGAAATTTGTATTGCATACGAACGGTACGACAGAAGAATGATTTTTCTTCCCTGTAAAGCTAGGTACTCTGTTCAAAATTTCGTGCGAAATGCTGTCAAACT